CACACACACACACACACACACACACACACACACACACACACACACACACACACACACACACACACACACACACACACACACACACACACACACACACACACACACACACACACACACACACACACACACACACACACACACACACACACACACACACACACACACACACACACACACACACACACACACACACACACACACACACACACACACACACACACACACACACACACACACACACACACACACACACACACACACACACACACACACACACACACACACACACACACACACACACACACACACACACACACACACACACACACACCTATACACGTTTCACCATACATGTGGGCCCATGTGAATAATACCGTACTGTGGGGACATTGAAACTGCGCACATAGCAATATAGATCTCCTCGCGCTGATTCTAACGCTATCTTTAAAATATCTATACACTCCAAATAAACACCTTACACACTATGAAAAAGTTGTGGGGTCAGACCCTACAAGTATTTAGACGTCAAATATGTGTAATGGTGTCCTTTTAAATATTGTAACGTTGGAATGTGGGTATACGTGAACCCACAAGTAATGTAGCTATTGTTTTGTGTATGAGTGTTCCCATAAATATATGAGTCTACTTATGTTTATTTTCCTGTACTCAGAACTTATGCATAATATAAAAAGATACACATGAACTCATAAGAAATGGAAAATCAAATTTTAGTGTAATTTAAACAAGAAGATAATATAAAAAAAAAGGATTGGTTAAAGTTATATAGTGGTATGTAATAATTTCTAACAAATCTTTAAACATTTCAATTGAGATGTGTTTAAAAGTTTTGAATTGACACTCGCTCTGGCATAAAAATATGAGTTACATGGTCGCCCTGTGGAGCGGGAGGACAGAATAGCTCTATCCAGACATTCACCTTTGGGGTTGTAAAAGCCCATCAAATGACCACTTTTAGAAAAGGGGCATCTAGTGATGCTGGTGACGTTATTAGCCTGTAGGACTCGGCGATTTGTCAACCAGCAGGCTTTTAACTAGTTGAGAGGCAGGTCCTATTTATCCCGGGAGAATGCATAATGGGTCTACTGAGGCTTAAGTAGCAGTGAAGCAACCCACCCTCCTCATCCTTACAGATACAGACAGATGAGTACAAATTAAAATAAATTATTATAAATTAAAATAAATTAAAATAAAAAAATATTAGACTTAGTAGCTTTGATGACAGTGGCTTTTCTTCACCGAATATTAGAAATCTCATTCCACCCAGGCTTTTACATTGGTACAGGACGTGGAATGATGTTTCCTCTTCTTCTTCACAGAACCTACACAAAGTTTTTTCTTCTGCTGGATTGATGACACTTATGTGCCTTTTAAGGTGACAGTGTCCGGTAAGAAGACCTACTGTTATCCTAACGATTTGACCCTTTTTATCCAGTAAGTCTTTTGTGAACTTGGCCAATGGTTCCTTGATGAACTGTTTGGCATGTATCAGTCTTGGATAGTTCTTCCACCATTCCTGATACTCTTTTTGCATCCATTGTTTGATGGATGTCTTGCACAAAGCCTTGCAACTACACAGAAGGGTTTGGGGCCTGTCATGGCCTTATATAAGCCTTCTCGGGCTAATTCGTTGGCCTTTTCATTACTCTAATATCCCTTATGGCCTGACATTCAAGCTAGGGTCACCTTGTTTTGGCTACTTAGCTCTGCCAAGTCCTCTAGACAGTCTTTCACCAGTCGTGATTTGATTTCTGGTAAGAAAATTGCCTTTAGAGCTGCTTGGCTATCAGAGTATATGGCAATAGTTTTGCCTGATACTTACTTGTTTAGTATTTCTCTTGCACAATGTTGTATGGCTATTAGTTTAGCCTGGAACACTGTTGCATCGGATACCCTTATTTTAGTCCTTTTTAAGACTCTGATAAGCGCACGGTTGGATAAATTAGGGCGCATTTATTTGTATTATTTTTTTGGTTACTATTTTAAACTTAAATATTTGTAATTTAACTGTCGGGTTGCTTGTTTTAGGCGAGTCCCACATTTTGTAAAATACCTACCTATCTACCTACCGAAATAATACTCAATAAATACTGTAACGCGATACTTGATATTTTATCTATTTGTTATAATGTGTTTAAGCTCAATTGATTTTGGGCGTGGGTTAGGTTATTAAATAACTCGAATAACTTTGAAAAAGAAGTTGGGCACCACTATATTTAAAACTTACCAAGTATACTTGACTTTAGATTAGTGATAAAAATATAGAAAATCAGTAACCAATAACAAATTATATTTAAACCAACTTTTAGATAAGGTAGTAGCAAATTCTAATTCACATAGTTTTACTAAATTCAAATTCAAGATGATTTATTTAAAAGCACTTATCTGTTCTTAAAACGAAGTAATATAAGGAATGTTTATTTGCAAGGTATTCTTCAGGCAACTTCAAAGGGATTCGATATCCTTATTCTTAATTCTGGAACTTGAATGATATTGTGAAATTTGATATTCTAACTTAAACTTAAACGTGTAAATCTTCTATAGATGAACCAAACCACGGTCTTCAGATTGTACCAAACTTCTAGGTATAAAAACCATAAAACTTCTTGATAGGAATTCAAAACGTCTAGATATAAATCCACATAAACTGTCTAGATATAAAACGAAATAAACCGTCTAGATAGAGCCATGCTAAAAATAAAGGCGAATGTTATAACAGGAAATAGGAAATTTGAACAGGATTTAGATAAAATACTTTAATTATTAAATGAACAATTTAAAACTATTAAATGAATAATTTCACATAGACTAAAATTAATATGGAAAGGAAAAATATTATTTGATACATTTAAACATAGTAAAGCATAATATCTTATTCCAAAAAAAAATATATATAAATTTATATAAAACGTGTTATCCATTGTTGAGGTTACGTTCAAAATTTGACATTTTATTTAAGAAATTCTTGTACAAAATATATATTTTCAACAATATATCAGTATTAAAACTTACCTTATAAAATCAGACGGAATTTATGATAGATAAAAATTATTTAGTAAATCGGATGACCAAGATATATTAAAAAAATTTAAATCAACTTATTTCGTTGACAAATTCAAATCAAATGAAATACGAAATTTTGACACAAGGCATAAATGACATTTGAGTAGAGGTGATTGTGTTGAAATAACGAATAACGGTTCCAACCGTTACAATACATATTCAAAAAAATATATTTTTAAATGATGATTTTATGTACCCCTTAAATAATAATATAGGCACCCACACCTAAAATTTCTTGATCTGACATATTTATTACTCCGAGGCGATTTCGATTCGACTATAAATGAAAATTCATGCATTTTCTCTCAGTCCGTATATTAAAAGATCTTGTTATATCATGTAATTATTAATTAATACCTTCATAGTTTTTCATCATAATTCAATTAAAAAACTTTTTCAAATTTTAATTAATTTTAGCCAAAAATAAATATTATTTTAATATATATTTTATTTTCGAAAATAATTTGTTTTATAAATTACCAATTTTAACGATATGCTTTATTATACAAAGTATTTATGTTCTATAGGAATCCGTTATAAAAGAAAGGCGTGTCCCACTCAAAATAAAAAAGTTGACACCTACTTTCGGTAAAAGCGAAAATGACAGAACTATCAAAATATTTTACATGTTTACTACTCTTACTAATTTTTAAGAAAATCAGTCCATTAGTTTTTAAGAGTGCCCCTCGTCGCTGGACACCTTATATATCTTGGTTCTTATTTTTTATATTAGAGCAACCCGGTGTCTCTGTATGTATTAACTGATGTAATAAAAAATATTTACTTAATACAATATCAGAAAATGCTACCGCACCAAGAGAAAATTATAAAAAATATCATTCGCATACGTCACCTGCCCCAAATGGTACTGAATACTACATTAGTTATTGTGTCCCCATAACTGTATGCGTATTGGGATTCGCTTACACACAAATTTATGAAACCAATATTTATTGAAATATATTTATTTTTTGTAGGGGGCGCCACTTTCTAGTACAACAACTAGTCCCCACTTCAATACCAAAGTCAAAAAATATACACACCTGATATTTTACCTAGTTGTGGGGACAGTAACTTATTTAATAATTTTGGTAAAAGTAATAACTCTAGATTAGTTAAAATTAAAAGTGCCGCGAACAAATTTTTTTGCGATTTTTTTATGTAGCAATGATCATTAAAAGAAAACAAACAACGAAGATAAAGCCAAAAAAAGTTGTGGGGACAAGTGTGTATGTCCCCACAACATTAAATGTCCCCACAACTTTTACTGTCCCCACAGTCCTGGTTTTATTCAGGCGAAAATCCCACAAGTACGGTAAAACATACGCACACACACACACACACACACACACACACACACACACACACACACACACACACACACACACACACACACACACACACACACACACACACACACAGACATCATCGCGAAAATAGTCAAAATGGATTTAGGGGACCTCAAAACGTAAAAATCTGTCGAAAACTCGATGTCGAAAAAAATCATGATTCCTATACTTTCCTTACCTATATATCAGTATACAGATAGGAAAGTAAGAAGGGCAGTTACAAAGGTAGAGTACCCAGTACGAAAATTCCATTTTATGAGTAGACCTTAGTATTTCGATCACTAGCTCTTTTGCTAAAACTTCGAAATTTTTATACTATTTTCTCAGCTAAAAAAATGAAAACCTTCGCGCTTCTCTCTAAATCCACCACTGCTTCCAGTTACTGCAATGTTATTACTTAATAATTTTTAATATGTACCTATACTTATTTTATTAACGTCGACATTCTTCGCGCTCTTCTATTTTATTAATTTATATTTTATTGTGAAATTCAGATTTTCCGGAGCGCGCATTGTAATCAAAACTGCTTTCTCATAGCTACGAATTCATCGAATTCCACCTTTGCTCACTGGTTCAGTCAACCTTAACTAGTACCCGCACATCGTGTTAACCAGTCGCGGAACCAATTCGTAGTATAGTACCATCGCATCCTCCAATAAAAATCTATATGGAACATTAAATTGAAATTCGAAAACTTCCCGTTACACGCTCTTATCAACCGCTGATAGTGATAACAGACGTTATGGTTATGGTTATGGTTATCGACCATTCTTCGAGCTTTTTCGTTATTTACCTAGTTGTTCGAAAGTGGTGTTGTTAATCTGTGATAGTACAGTATATATATTTATTGTAAAACATGTTTAAAAGACAGCGTTCGAAAAATAGTTCTTCTGGAATGCAAAACGGGGATGGTACCCCGCCTACTATCGTGGAGAATAATGGGGGGAAACCCCCCGTGTCTCCCGTTTCGAGGAATACCCTGCAGTTTTATTCTCAATTAGCGCACGGGAGTCCTACGGCTTTTGTGTCCGGATTTTCTAATGTTAAGGAGTTGTATGATAAAATTGGGGAATGCTTTGACATACCGCCCTCAGAGGTAAGAAAAATAATAACTTTTCCGTAAATTGTCATGTGACAAATATATTTATATGAAACCAGTATGCTGAATATCACATTTATATACATTTATCAATGTTTAATGAGAATATCGCATGAACAACATGTTATACACAAAATACATCAGTCGAAATTAATTTTAAATGTCAATATTTTTTTAGTAAAACGCGATCCAAAACTCATTTCTATTTCACGGCCCAAAAATCTTTAATGTTCTAAAGAAAAGAAACATTCAATTTTAATAGTTTCAAAAACGAACTAATAAATTATATCCAAAAATACCCAAATAAATTTCTTTCCTAGTTATAGGTAATATAAAATATTTTTAGGTCAAGGAAAATTATTAGAAATGAATTGCTGTACTTTTCATACTAAATAATTGCATAGTAAACTTTTTGTACGACTTTGTAACAATAACAGTAAAAGTAACATCTCTGAGCTTTGATTTTTAGTTTCTTCATACACGAAAAGAGCTTAAACCAGACAATGACCCCTCATTTCTATTCCCCGGCCCAAAAATCTTTAATGTTCTTCCAAAAAAAAAAAAAAAAGAAATATAAACATTTTAATAGTTTCAAAAACAAAGTAATGAATTATATCCAAAAATACCCAAATAAATTTCCTTTCTATACCGGTGTGAACCAATTTTTAGCGACAAATTTTCCGAAAATTGCCGAACGTCAGTGGCGTCGTAATTATTGTAGGAGGCATTCAAAATCAAATATCTCCGTTGCTAGACATAAAAATATGTTTTATGTCTAGGAGCGGAGATATTTTATTCCTATAATAATCGGAAAATTTGATTGAGGCCCTATTTAAACTTGCAAGTGGTATTCTTTAATGTATATTGTAAGTTGTATTTGTACCTAACTTGTATTAAAAAATAAACATGTTTTTATGCATAGGAACAAAGATTGTTTATTGCGACTATTTTCCCTGGGGTTGATAAACACCCTATTTGATCTTGTAAGTCGTTCTCTTTAAGATTTATTAAAAGTGGTATTTTTTCATACCTTATGCTAGAAAATATACATGGTTTTATGTCTAGGAACCGATATAATTGATTGCGACTATTTTCTCTTTTATATCCTACTTACCAAGTTTAAAATAATAAAGTGGTATATAGTCAAATTAATTATTTTATTTGCAAATTTTAGTGGTAGATGCATGCTTCCTACAATAATTACGACGCCACTGACAGTTTGGCAATTTTCGGAAAATTAGTCGCTAAAAATTGGTCGCTAAGTTCACACTAATCCTTTCTATTATTTTTTTTTATTAAGTTACAGTAATTACATATACAGGGTGAGTATAATATTCGACCGACAACACTCTACCCCAGAGAGCTCTCGTTAATTAATGATTTTGATATAGGAACATGAACTCTTAAAGGGCTTAGGTACAGAGATACCTATACAGGGTGTTAAAAGTTTGAAATCTAAATTTAAAATTTACCATAAATCAACAATGTCAAATTTGATAATTAATATCCTCCTTCATTATAAAAATGATACAAAAATGCTAATTCTATAATTAAAATATATTTCGAATTTTAATTATGTGCACTATTCAAACCTGTTTATAATCTTATACACGATATTTACATTTTTATTTGTTATTCATTTCAAATAAAAATCCTTGAACGTAGGTTTTATTAACAAAACATTACTACTTTTGAAACATTTTATTAACAAAATACCTTATAGTTTGTAACAGAAACTTTCACTTTAACTAGTGACTAATGACAAATAAATGGTTTTTCTAAATTAAAGCAACCGGTGGAAAAAAACTGCATTGTAGTTCTTTTTATACAGAGTATCCAACGTGATTTGGTAAAACAATAAATTTAATGCAAATGGCCATTCACAGTGACTTTTATGACACCAATGTGCTAGTTCAGTGTGATGTCATTTTGGTTCCACTGACATTTAATTCTAACCAAACTTTCAACAAAAACATCAATAAATTTGACATATACGTTTTTACTGTTTTTATTTTATTTCAAAATATAGTTTACAGGTCATAAAAAATAGTTTAAAGGTATGTAATTGGTAACTAAACGATTGTATATTTGATACATGCTATCTACTTACTTTAGGAATATATTTATAAAAGTGAAAAAAACGATATAATTTACAATTTGTTACTGTGGCCTCTCGTACTTACTTACATCCTAACAGGTACAAATACCACTTTGTACCTACCTTACCACTTTGGCATTTGTACCTACTTTATGCTAGAAAATAAATATATTTTTATGTCTAGGATCCGAGGTATTTGATTGCAACTATTTTCTCCTTGGGGTTGAAAAACACCCTTTTTGATCTTACAAGTCGTTCTCTTTAGGACAGGTTAAAGTGATATTTGTATCGTTACCTTATTTCTAATAGGGCCTATCCCACAAAAATCGAATTTTTGTATTTTGGCGCCAGTCCATCACGAAACAGTTCCCTCACCTACCTTCAAACGGTCTGTACGATTATCCACCTCCAAAATACCTTTAATTGACAGATTCTAATATGGCGTATAACAACATGTGACTCTAATAAGGCGTATTCACCAGTTTCTCCATAATACTTATATGTGCAAGCAGCGGTGTAGGCGTGTTTCGTATGATTTTTTTATTTTTGGTTGTGTTACAATAAGTTTTTTTAAGGTAAGTTTTGCTACTTATAAGTTAATAAGCATGTGTTCTTTATATACGAAGAGGTTATGCAAAATATTCTTTAAATTTATTGAAAATACTGCTTTAGAAATTGAATTTGGAATACGCCCTATTAGAATTAATTATTTTTGTGGTATACAACCTATTAGAATTAGATGTGGAATACGCCCTATTAGAATTAGTTGATTTTGTGGTATATAACCTATTAGAATTAGATGTTCTTTGTTTCAGATGTCCTCGCGAGCCTCAAAAATAATGGCTCTTGCGTTACAACAAAAATCAAATTCTTTAAATATACAAGATATGCTTATTAATGTACCATACGAAGTGGAAGTTCTGAAAGACTCTACAGATGATTTGGATATTTATTTAGATAAGAACAGTGAATTTATAGAAATAAGTACCAATCCTGAAAATGAATTGATACTGTTTGATGAAATGAGAGAAAAAGAAAATATTTGTACCACAGATAAAGGAATACCCAAAAAAATAACTGATTATAATTACAGCGATCTCAACTGTATTATACAAGACGTGAGTGCAGCAGAGGATAGAGATATAGAAAGTCCAAATTATGTTGATGATCCAGATTATACACCAATGGAAGAAAATCTGTTACAAAATGAAAATAAGGACAGTTCTACGGAAGATCTTAGTAGCGGAAATAATAACAAAAAGTCTGACGGCAAACAAACTGATAAAAGAAAGAGAAAAAAGTAGCAATTCCTGAAGAATAGGACAAGAACATTAATAAAAAGAAACAGATGTTTGGACAAAAATACGTAGGTTACACAAGAAACAAAGATGGGACCATCAAGCACAATATTGAAAGAGGTAGTCGTAAAATGGGATCCAGTTGCAGCTCTCAATTTTGTAAAAAAGCTTCGAACCGGTATTGTCACCTATTTACTGATAAGGTACGAAAAGAACTTTTTGACAATTTTTGGTCGATGAACTGGGATCAGAAGAAATTGTTTGTTGTACATATGACTCATTATCACAGCATAAAAAGGAGTTATACCCAAACTCCATCCAGAAGAACTGGTTCCTACGATTATTACCTAAAAGTTGACACAGGTAAACATCAAATTTGTAAAAGCTTATTTTTAAGCACTCTTGGAATAACTGAGAAAATGGTCAGAATATGGGTTAACGATGGAAATACCTTCGGTATGATGCACACCCAGGAAAAGAAAAATGAAAACAAGTCTGAGAGAAGGTCCAAATCGGAAACTGGTAAAGAACAAGAACAAAGAAAAAAACATCTTGAAACATTTTTAGACAATTTACCCAAAGTGGAAAGTCATTATTGCCGACAAAGATCGATAAACTACAAGTACATAACTTCACCATATACAATTTAGAATCTCACGATAGTAAAAACTATTTATGGAATGAAACAGAAGGTGAACTTTGCTCATCAGTTTTTGCGACATGCATCTTTAAGCATATTCAGACAACCCTTGACCGTGAAGTAAGATCTGTGTGTTATATTCTGACAGTTGTGGTTACCAGAATAAAAATAAATATCTTGCAAGTGCCTTATGTCTTTTGGCATGTAAAAACAATGTAGAGATTGAGCATAAATATCTCGTGAAGGGTCATACTCAGATGGAGTGTGATGCTACTCAGTCTTATTGAACGTCACATTAAAGGAAGAGATATCTATTTGCCCACTGATTATATATCAGTTATTACCTCAGCGAGACAAAAACCACAACCCTTGCAGGTAGAATACTTGAACCACAGTTATTTTTTTAATTTTGACGACAATAACATATTACGATATGACTCCATAAGACCAGGAAATCGCATAAATGATCCCAAAGTTGCAGATATATCCTGTCTAAAATATCTGCCGAATGCAAAACATATTATACAAGCTTAATTATAATGAGGCATACTTACCTCTTCCACAAAGATCACAAACTATCAACCATAATTACGAGCTTAAACCTTTGTACCAGACAAGACTAAAAATAACAAAAAAAAAGTGGACACACTTGCAAGAATTAAAAAGGGTATTACCAATAGATACTCACGTTTTTTACGATAACATCGAATTTATAAATGAGAATACTACCAGTAGTAATAAGAACATTGAAACACATCCAGTACATCAAAAGAAAAAGAAAAGAGAAACGAATAAGTTAAACTCAAAGACCAAGAATAAAGAGATAAAAAAAATAATAAAAAACGTTCAACCATCCAAAAGAAGAAGAAAGAACAAACGAACAAGTTAAACACTAAGCATGAAGCAACAACTACTAAAACTTCAGAAGTAAAGAAACGAAGTTAGCGGATGTTAATACAAT